AACATAATCCATAACCTCCGCTAGATGGCGACTCAAGCAAAAGTTGATTTTTGAGGAAATGAATGGACCAAAGTCGATTATTTCCGTTCCTTCTAACTAACAGATTCAAAATTAAATTTTTAAAAGTTTGAAACATAGATATCAATACAAATACGGAAAAGTAAAAATAGAATATGAGTTGTTTATTGACTTTTGAAAACTAATTTATTTTTAAGCGTGAAAGAAAATCGGAAAAGTTGTCATCGAGAAATCAAGAACGTACCGTAGCGACATCTAGTTTGATTTCGGGAACTAATGTTTTTTTTAAATACTTCCTCATTTCTTTTTATTATTCACATTTTGTAATTTGAAATTTTGACTAATCTAATATGCTCTTTATGAATGTCAGTTCATAAAAATTCATCTGTTGTGAACATGTTATTGTAAATCGTATAAATTTAAACATAAAATATTATAATAATGAAGTTATCGAACCCGTCACAACATGTGTTCTTTTCAAATGATAATTCATATTTTCGGTTGTTGATTTAAAAGATAAAGTTAAATACAATGTTTACAAACAGCCAGTCGAACAGCATTATCCGTTTTTGTAAAATGTGCCCATAATTCATTTTGCTTCCGCAAGATTGTTTAATATAAAGTTCGTAACTACTAGTCACTAATATTATTTGTAATACTATTTATTGAAACGTAAATACGCTAAATACTATTTTACATTTAAATTTATTATAATATTTTTAAAACCGAGAACTACTTTAATTTAAGAAATACACTAATAAACTGCTTAAATAAAATGCAATGTTTATCAAAACCACTCAAGATATTCTAATCTAATGTATTCAGTGCAGTGTGCAATAAAGGATTATTATATTTTAATTACGCCTAAAACGCATCGTGATTTGCTAGAAATCATAAATTAAGCGTTGCAGTTAGCCAAACCATACTGCATTTAAAATTAGGTTCTATAAATCTTACTAATATGTAACTAACGGTCATTTTGCAAGATTGGACTCGTTGATAATACTAACTAAATAATGGTTATTTGATATGATATTCGCTTCATCTCTTTAGCATCACGGGTTACATTAGAAAGAGATATTCCAAATATCATGTCTTGGCTACTTTTCTAGCGCCTAAATAGACCTTACTGTTGTAAATTTTTTTTTTTACGAATGTTCGTAACTGGATTGTCGCTTCATCTTATTTTGCTCTATGGCATTTAAAAGAGAAGAGGCAGCGCTATATATCGCTGTGAGTTTTGTAATAGTTAGTACGCATTATCAAATTCGCGTTTTGAAAAAAAACGGACGTATTGTTTGAGTTATCGATACGATATGATACTATAACTCGTATCGTTTTTCAGATTCGTTATTATGATATATCGAACTCAAGCCTAATGTCAAATGTCGATTCAAAACTGGCATTCGAAAAACGTTTATTGTATATCAACTCCGTACAATAAACCAATCCCGTAGGGGTCCAGTGATGTATGACATTTCCACACGCCCCTCACCCCTGTTAATAGATGGAGACATGACACCTGACAGAAACTGTCATTACAACAAAGAGTAAAGATACTAATGTTTTAATTAATCTTTAATTAATTTTACTTGTTGGAATTAATTTATTCATTTCACATTGGCAAAATTGCGTGAAATGCGCAGATATGCCATTAATGAAAGAAGAAGAATTACAAGTGATTGAGTAAAGTTTCTTTTGTGCTTACCCTGTTCGCTTTATTTGTAATATAAACTCTCCATTTTTCGAAGTATTTTTATTTGTAGAAGATGCCTAAGAAATTGGTGTGTTGTGTTATGGTTGTGTTACACGCATTGTTAAAGTACGAACAGGACGCTATTCTTTGTAAGATTCTAGTGAACGAGAAAAGATTCTCCAAGTGGTTACAATGTCTTAGTGCTGTGTGTGATACTGAAAATTTTAATCCCGGCAGAAGTGTCATTTGTAGTAAACACGATGTACCAAGATTCATCACTCCAAAATCATGACTCTTGGGTGATGCATATCCGTCGTTGTTTAATGATGATGGGCTCTCAATCAGCCTACCCTCTTCAAGCAATACTGGTAAGGCTAATTAAAATGATATGTATCTTCACTTTATGTTGTGTTTTGGAATACCGCTATTCTTCATTAGATTTTTTTTTTATTACAGAAATTATATTCACTTGGGAACACAGCTATGCAAGAAAAAGTCATGTTGACCACACATATTAGAAAGTGGAACTGAACAGAGGTTTGTTTTTAATTTATTTTATTTAAATAACAAAGTTCATGCTGCAGTTTTGGTGTATTTTAATATAGATTTTTGCTTTAAAAAAGTCTAGTAGATCTCTCTTTCTTACACACATAAAGAAAAATTACATACACGCTAGAAGTGATTTTGATCAGAGAAATAATTGATAATATAAATAACATATTTCTAATATCATCTAAGATTATATCCTGTTTTTTAATCTTACACACATAATCAATATTGATTTCATAGGTGGTGTAATTTTAATAGAACAAATTGAGACTCCTGTGTCTGCAGCCACTGAGTTTACTCAATTAGTTGCTTGCTCTGGAGATTAAAATATGACACAAACTAAACTATCTGGTAAGACCTGTCTCTTTCTTTAGTGTATCTTTATTTCAATCAAATAGTAGTTCTAATAGAGAAATTCACTGAATACTTTTGATGTTACAGACCCTGTGAAATGTACCCAAACAAAAAGGAAAAGGCTTATTACCAATTGTCAATTGGCAATAAAGCCAATTGTCACCTTTATACCAGAGAATTTATGAAGAATATAACAAGCCAAAGACGTCGTTTAACTTTCTTAAAAAAGTTAAGAATACTTAAATACCTTTAAGTTTTGTAAAAAGTTATCATTTGAGAAGTTCAGACAAAAAATGAACACAGTTGCAAAAATGTTTTTGAAATGCATGTGAGCATGTGCTCTAAAAATAAACATGAGAGGTGATTCACTACCGAAGAAAAGATAATTGCTTTATCAATATCAAAGCAGAGTCCAAAGTGTTATTGATTTTTAAGCAAAATTTTTTATTTTATCATCCAAAACTACACTGAATACTATGATTAGAAAATTGATCATAGAACCAGGCTTCATGTAAGAGGTAAATATATTCCATATAAGTTTTTTCATACTACTTTTATAATTTTATGTATTACTACCAAATAATAATATTTACTTTTTCTACTACTATTTGAATTTACTTTTTCAGGTGGACAAATGAAACTCCAAAAAAATATGCTCCATTATAATTGATGAGATGTCATTAGAAACAGCACTTTCGTATAATAAAAGTAATAAGGATTAAAGATAACATTAATGGATTTGTAGAACACCAAGAAAAGAAAGTGGATTTTGCAGATCATACTCTTGTATTTATGTTGGTGCTGTTTACAAGTGGCAACAGCCTTTATGTTTATTTATTTCTAACAAGGAGCGACATCTACTGTACATCAAGAATATTTTAAAGTTAGTAGTAGGAAAAGTTGTTGAATTGGACCTTAATCCTATCGCAATAATATATAACCAAGGCTCAGCTTTCCAATCAGCACTCAAAAATCTAAAAGAAGACACTTAGTGTGATCAAATTTTAAATTGAAATCACAGGTTGGTACAGAGAATTATATTTATATGAAAGAAAACTAATAGATTTAATGAAAGTAGTGAAGGTCCTTATTTTTATATTGTTATCTATGTTTTAAGAAGTTCTTAAATTTTTGTTTCAGTTGGCATTCTTAAAATATGTGGGATGGATTTGAACATTATGATTCTACACACTTGATAAAATGTATCAGGAATAATTTTGGTGGTAAACTTGCAAAATGGCATGATATTATTTATGTCTATGAGACAGACTGTCAACACACTGAAGCTGGGCTACGTCATAAATTAAATGACCAATGAGTTATACCTGATAAAATTAAAAAGATGAAGGTAATGCATTGGTTATTATATTAGTATAACTTAAATTAGTATAAAAAAATAAATAATTTGTATTCAGCTTCTATATTCTCTATCAGAGCAAGTGTTGATACAATGACCTGTATTTTTAATTATGTAACAAGTAGTTAATATAGTTTACACTTAAATTACAATAATGATTCTCTAATGAAGATAATTTTAAATATGATATCTCTTTTTGCAGGTAAAAAATTGTGTAAAAATATGTCTGCAGCTTTGTCTTACACTGCAAATTTCTGTGAGTATTAGATGAAATTTACTAACAGTTAATTGTTTTGAATCAAGTTTCATACAATTATTATATGAATATTTTAATTTGCAGCAACTTATGAGGATGTGCACAACATTAAGAAATGCAGCTGAAGTTGTTTCATTCTTTGACCAATTATTTGATAGTGTCAATGGAGCATCGATAAACAAAAAAAGCATAAAGGAAAAGAGCTGTGACAGATAAGACACACCATCATTCTTTCTGGCCAAAGGCAATTGAAATTTTAGAAAAACTTAAATATGTGTATAAAAAGGTATGCAAAAATCAGTGCCCTCTTTAAAAAAAATTGTGATTACCTTGAAAAGTTTCATAAGGTTGTGCCACTAAAAAAACGTAGCTAGGAATTGCCGAGAATGCAGAAGAGAGCTGTGAAAAATATAATAAGTTAAAAAATAAATTATTCAATAAATAATATTGGAAAAATGTGTGTTTTATTTACGTGTTCATTTTTCCTTTTTTGTTTTAATACAACAATAATAATAAGCTAGACTTATCAGTCTGCTTTATTATTATTGTTGTATTAAAACAAAAAAGGAATTTAAATTAAAGTAAAAATAATGTGGAAACTAGGAAGACGGCTAGGTACCTACCCAAAACAGGGCTGTATAGCTAAATGCCTTTGCCGATAGTAGATCTATATATTTAAAACGAATGAAGCTGTCATGTATCACTGGCTCCCAATCACGTTCTACGAAGAAATTTTTTGTTAGGAAGTTGGTCGTCTGATACCTACTAAGTTTATGATATGATTGGTGAATTTTTCATTTTACATGTAGTGATTAATTTAACTAATTAAATCACTTGACATTGGCAGAATTGGGCGAATTGCAAAGATTAGTATAAAGCCTTTTATAAAAGAAGAATATTTGTAAACTAAACTTTTAACACTCTGCAATTGTATTTTGCAATTGGATTTGATTTGAGAAGGAATTCCAGCAATTTAATTTGATATTCTTGTCAAGCATTGTTTTTAGAAATCCAAGAAAATATTATTTCAATGTTTTAATAGTGCTGCAACATTTCAAATATTGATAACGTCAAAATGCAGAAAGCAAAAAAGAAAAGAGGAGAAGAAGAACCCATGGATGTTGATGATGTAGTATCACAACAAAATGGAGTTATGAATTCTGATAATGATAATTTAAACGGTGAAATCGATCATATATCAGATGACGAGGAAGGTGGTGTTCGTATTGGTGATATTTACATACCCCCGGCACCTAAACCGGCGCTCACATTTGATGCGACAGGCCCCCGTCTTATAATAACCCATATAGTGAATGAAAATTTTAAGAGTTATGCTGGTGTCCAAACTTTGGGTCCGTTTCATAAGGTAATATATATTCTCCTAAGTTTTTAATTTTCTGAATCTAAGTAACCTATTAATATACAAAAGTTTAGTGAATTGAACTTAGTTTACTTTAGTTATTCATTAAGTACGGTGTCTTTAATTATCACAACAACATACTTAAAAATACTCAGTTTTAAAAATTCAATCATTATTTTAAATTTCTTTCTGTTTCTGGCATTTTTCATTTATAATCAAATAAGAGTATAAATTATCAAGGAGAGCTAAATAGGGAATATTATGCATAGCTCAGTATAGACAGCAGGTCTAGCGACTATGGAACAATGATGTATTATTGGTTAATAAAATAGTCTATCTGATTATAAATTTAAAAAAATCTACTATGCTTACTATTTACTTTTTACTCAATACTCCTTGAATTAAAAAAAAAGTGTAAACTACATGTGTTAGGTGTCACTTTAGTGAAAATGATAGTAAATTAATAATAATGGCTTACCTGTTTTTTCATAACTTGGAATGATAAATACACTTCACTGATATTGGTATTTATGTCAATACCAGAAAGATGTTAAAAATTAGAATCTAGTTACAGTGATAGACTCTTCAATGTGCCTTATAAGGTAAAGACAAGACTAGACTAATTGATCTGAGATTTTTTTTTTGTTTGAATACAAAAATCTACACTTTGAATATGTTGACGTTTTACATGTGTGTTGTGTGTAATCATTACACACAATCACATCATCACGAGAAGCTGTGTCGCACTCCACACCTCAGGTGTATTGCTGGACTAGTGTCCTGTGCACACACCCTTTTCTACCTGCAATACATTAACTATGCATCATTATTAATTGAAAAAATACTTTGTTTTTCATTAAGTGAATGCATTATTCCACATTAAATTATTTTATTCAAGACATAACATCTATGCTATATCTACATTAAGCCTCTGACTTTTAACAGAAGAAATGAATGTAAACATGTTCTAATTCAACTCATAATGTTTATTTCAGAGTTTCACAGCTATTATTGGGCCTAATGGAAGTGGTAAGAGTAATGTGATTGACTCCATGCTGTTTGTTTTTGGTTATCGTGCAACTAAAATCCGTTCAAAGAAGATTTCTGTCCTCATTCATTCGTCAAGTAAACATCCCAACATTACCAGTGCGACAGTTGCTGTTCATTTTTGCCAGATTGTAGATGGGGTTTGTTATTTTACTTATTGAGCAATTTATGTTATTAATATGATGTGCGGCATTGACTCTAAATATGCATGATGATTATTTTTTGTTTGTCTGTCCCTTGGGTAGATAATTAAAGAATATTGAGCATGTATTTTTTATTTCTTCTGTAATCAATTATGGTTATACATTGAGTTGAAATGTCACATGACATCACACCTTTGCACATTTTATACATAGTCGTGTCATAGCCAGCACCCTTTCCTCAACTTTAATGCCTTTTAAGCCTATTTAAGCCAGTTATTGTTAAATCGAAGCAAATATGTGTCTAATATTTTTTTAGTACCTGACTGACTTGACTAAATAGAATTTCTTTTTTTTTACCCAACTTGTAATTTAACACTAAGTTTGAATCAAGCAGTTTGACACTAGATTGACCTTGAAATAATAGGAGTAATATACCTTTCAAGTTTGAAAATGCTTCGCTTTTACTAACTAGATGAAATTAGAGATCCCTATACACTGTCATGGCTACTGTCAAACCTGTAGCAAGCTTCAAGTGGCGTCATGTAATCTTGACGGTTTGTGGTTATCACTTCATGCCACTGCCTGATGATGTAAGGTTGATTATGTATGAGATCCTAAGGGTAAATCCAATTACAAACCCGCTTATTGGAATTATTATTAGGTGTAAATGAGAAGAAGTAGAAAGCAATTCAATAATGATTATATTTAAACCATTAAGGGTGTGATAATGCCATGGTTATTTCGGATTGCTTTGTAAGCTTGAACTTGATGCTTATTGGTTATAGAGGAATGATGGAATTGCGACAGGTGGTACGACATTTGAGACGCATTTTCCTTGGTGTAGTATTCGTCGATTACAATTGAACTCACATTCATTCCTGTAAGTTATACCATCACTTCCGCATACCTGGGGCCCATAAGGTGGGCAACCACATAATGGTTGTATTTGGCCAACAGCTGCCTCCAAGATAGTAGCTATAAAATGGAAATCACATATTTTTAGTTTTATAAGATACATAATCTATCCTAATCATATATTAATCTATTTAAATTATATAATAAACCTTTATAATAAAACTTAAATAATAAAACTTTTAAATTGATGACCTCCATAGCAGAGTGGTTCGCACGCCGGTTTTTGAGTGTCGCCATCTCTGAGTTCATCCCTGGTTAGATTCCCAGTTGGGTCAATCTATAAAATTAGACTTTTCTATATTGTCTCGGGACTGGGTGTTGTGGTACCTTCGTTGCCTCATATACTACTTATAATGGGGTCTTCAGCTACTCATTTGGAATCAGAGCATGTATGTGATGTTGTATAATATTTATTTGTTTGTTAAAAATGTTACATCACACTATTTTAGGCTTCAAACAAGCATAGGACACATTATTTGAGGATTTTTTTGAGTTTTCAATATTCTGTTATTCATTTTCTTTCTAAATTCAAATAAAGTTTTGCTAATAGGACATTGCAAAGTATTGCTAATTTAGATTTATTATCTCAGTTATTTTTAGTTTCCCTGTGCTTCAGAAGACTTGGTAGTCTGGTATTGCAACTAATTAGTTGAAATTTGGACAATGTCTGCAGCTAATTAAAAGTGATACAATAAAATTTAATGTTCACATACCTAAACATAAACCCAGAATGACGATCTTCATTTTCAATTTTCCACAAACAACTGCATATACAATAACATGCCCGTGCTTATAAACAGTATAATAATATTAATCAAAATATGATTCAATTCTGAATAATTTATGTCTGAATTTGTTCCATTGATTTTTAACGCTGAAAGTTAGTTCAAGTAAAGGTCCATTATAATAACTGTTTGGTACAGTCATCTATAGAAATACGTTTATAGTATATTCTATAGTTTTTAATCAGCTCGATGGCATAGTGGTTAACACGTTCTTTCTGCGATACGAAAGTTAAGCAGCTTTCGTACGGGCCGGTCATAGGATGGATGACCAAAAATAATTTCGATTCGTGCCGGTATGCCGTTAGCATCTATCTGCATCTGCAGTCGTTAACAAAACACACTGGGGCCGCGTGATAGCTATTAGCTACGATGGCTCATTCTTCCTATTCGATTGGATTCCATTTATAGGGAACGTGGTAGGAGCGATGCGTTCGTACGGTGTCTACGTAGTTACCGCCTAATCGGTCTCACGGCTATCTCTATAGTCGGTCTCACGGCTCTCCATCGTATCTCTAACGGTCTTGTGGATCTTGGCGGTAGATAAATCCATTCTCTTATTTGATCTGTCTATCTGGTTGGTGATCAGCCTTTTGAACGTTTGCCTTCAATGTTGACAATCACGACTAGCTTCTCCAGGCTCATCGCCTTTTTGTATAATGTTTCCGAAGTATGCGAGAATGCTTTGGCGGCACATGGTGGATAAGCGCTTTAGTGGTGGTAGTAATTCCCCTCTTCCCCCATATGGTTTTTAGTCAACCCATAGCGTTTGGCCACAACGATTCTTCTTATCTCGGACCCCAAATATGACAAAAATGGTAACTTCGCTCCGGAAATCAAGAGATAAAATTTGAAAATAGAGATAAAATTTGCTATGAATCACTACGGATCTATATCCGTAGTGATTCATGCTTCCACGTGGATATTCAAGCCTGAAGTGTAGTACACACAATGAATTTTCTAGTCAACTATACTAAATTTCAATAAACAGTTTGAATATATATTATTAAATTTATTAAATATACCATTTCCAAAAACTTGTAATTATATTAGATTTGCTTAAGTGAAAAAGAATTAACTTTGGCATATTATGATTTAACAAGTGATGAAACTATAAAGAAATATGCTTAAAATTTTAGATATCACAGGTTATATTAATCAAATATATTGATAAAACTATATTCTTTAAATTATGAACAATTTATTTTATTCATTTCATTTATTCAATCTTGAAAAATAATTGATGCAGCAAGTGATGGTAACATCGATGACACTACTCCTTTATGACATTTATGAATGATTGCTAGCAAATATCTTAACAAATTCAATCTTGTTTTAATATTTTATCCATTGGCTCAAGAGCACGGCTATCGCCGGCTAGTTTACATCATAGATTAGCCCCACCACCACAAACTATATTTTTGTTTCTAGGAGGGTGAAGATTACACTGTTGTACCTAATAGTGAGATTGTGGTATCCAGGTCTGCGTTTAAGGACAACTCGTCTTTCTACACGTTGAACGGACGCAGGGTACAGTTCAAAGAGGTGGCCAAGATGTTGAGGTCGCACGGGATAGACTTGGACCATAACAGGTTTCTTATTTTGCAGGTAAATTATTCAGTGCCTATTTATACGTTATAATCCGGTTGCCAAACAGTGAGAATTTCGTACTGCTGCACCCCTTAGGTGTCTAAAACTTTCTTGACTTATCTGTTACACCCAAGTAATTATTGATTGAAATTTCTATTTCGACTTCTATGTTATTTTAAATTATTATCACAGGGAGAGGTAGAACAAATAGCGATGATGAAACCAAAAGCTCAGACTGAACACGAATCCGGCATGTTGGAGTACTTGGAAGATATCATTGGTACTTCAAGGTATAAGGTAAGCTCGAGTCCTAAAAGACTTTTAGAATTTAACATTTGTCTTACATAGTATGTAATGTGGTAATTTAGTTGTATGTATGATTGTAATTTAATATTTGCATTAAGTTCAGAGATGTGATTTATCTAAGTTGTTGTTAGTTATAATGTGAGAATTTTTATGTGATTTATTTGTACTTATCTAACTAAGATATCATGCTCTTTATTTATGAGTTGGTTATTTACATCATCACAAGAATTATTTGATCATTTTGTTAGTTTATTCAAAATTTTCAGGTTAGATAGTAATATTTTAACAACTATAGATTATGTAAATAAAACACCACTCATGTACATCACTTGTACCACATTGAGTTCGAATCCCACTGAATATGTTTCGCTAATCGGCTGAAATATCTGTAAATACTATTATTCACATTCACAATATTTTTTTTAATATTTTCTGGAACTGTTTATCAAATCAAATTATTTTAAAAATACATTCGACACATTTATTTACCTCTGGCTACCATCAGTTCCAAATTTAGAAGTCTTGTCGGAGAAGAACTGGCGATACAAACTCCGACAAGAAAAGTGAATTGCTCCCTTTGATTTAATATTTACAGAATGAACTAACTGTACCTTTGTAATGTGTGATCTGGATTGAGACTCCCAAATTCGGCCAGGGCTAAATAAATAAGTCCAATGTTTTGATAAAATATTTTGATAAATATAAAGTTTCCATAAAGTATATAAAAAATGTATTGTGAATGTGACCAATAGTTAATTAAAAAGACATCAACACCTTATTCTTATGTGAACCAGGAATGTCTGAAACGTTTAAAAGTTGTTTCATTTATATCTGTAAATTTTAATTTTATTATTTATTTATTGGAAAAACTTACAGCTAATAAAAAAAAACTCAAATTACTGTTTTATTTGTCTGTGAACTAAAGTAAATAAAAAAAATATTTAAAGGAACCCATAGAGAAATTATCAGTTAAAGTAGAAGAGTATAGTGAAATGCGCAAAGAGAAGCTAAACCGGGTGCGTCTTGTCGAACAAGAGAAACAGAAGCTTGAACAACCAATGAGAGAAGCGGTCGAACAAATGAATCTCACTAACGTCGCGCTGCGAACTAGGAATTTGTTACTAAATAAGTACATGTAAGTATCATATTTTAAATTATTTTTTATTTTTTTAAACAATTGGCATTTATAGGGAAAGATTATGAAATATCTTGGAAAAAGTAAAAAATAAATATGGAGTATTTTTTGATTTAAAATAATTTGTAAGTATATTTTATTTTAGCAAAATTAACAGCTCGAAATTCCACGTCACTGTTTTCGAAACAAAAAAAAAATGTTTAAAATATGTTTTGCTTTTATTTTTTATGGTTTATGACCATATGAAATTTCAAAATACTTAAAAGTCAAGTAGTCAGTTGTATGTAACACCCTTATCTATCGCATTTAGCTGTATTGCAATAAAAAAATGTATAAGACAACATTGTATACGACATTCGCACTGTGGCTGGGGACTTACTGTTAGTGGTCCTTTTTTCAACACCGGTCCCGGCTAGGTTTGAGATAGGGATGCGTCGACGGGATTATCAGAGTAGATATCATACATGCTAGTCCATAGGCACTGGTTCACCATTCCTCCAAAGATGCTCCTATTTCACCTCCTAGTTCACCATTCCTCCAAAGATACCATATCAAGCTTTATTTGAGTTCAGGGCAAGTTGTAATAAAAACCGTTACAATCATCCAAGGCTCAGGAAATAAAAGTGGGATTAATGAACGAAAGATAACGTATCGCCTCGTCCATATCCAATAAGCAATCTACCACTGTGTTGTCTTACAAAACTATCTGTTTTAGTGCGGAACACTGCAAAATACTAATAAGAGTGACATTTTGATTAAATTAACTTGCAGACACGAAACAAACAAAATAATAGAAGGCAAAGAGAAAGAAATGGTTGAGCTCAAGGAAAATTTAGCAAAGATCGACGAAAAACTGCAACAAATCAAAGAAGAATTGCAAGAAAAGACCACCATTCTCAAGAATGGTACACAGTGAGTATTAAATTACATTGAAAATAATAACACATGCTTTATTGTCTTTTTAATTAGGTTGATTTTGAAGCAATGGTTGTTGTACTTTAAGTTATGTATTTCATTCATATTAATAAGATAATTTAAAATTCAAATTTATACCTGAATACTTCTTTTTATTATAGTTAAATATACTTCATATATCCATTAAATTTAATATTCCTTTGACACTATTAATAAATTTACAGAAAATATGATAAACTTCAAAAACAGAAAGAAGAAGTAGCGGAAAAGCTTCAGATCTGTAAGAAGAAGACTGTGACAGCGCAAGCAGATATAACACAGTCCAATAAGAAAAAGAAAAATCTAGACCAATTACTCGAACAGGAGAGAGGCAAACTTATGGACTTGGAATTGGTATGTCCAAAGTGAATGATTTTTATATTCAATATTTTTAAATTATTCTCCAAAGCCTTAGGTGAATTACTAACAAGTTGACTTTGCCTTTAGTACTACTATTATTACATACTATTTCTTGCAAATGTCGGTTAGTTGAAGTCAATGTTTTTAATTTTCAATTTAAATTGGCACTATTGCTTAAAATTGTGTGACTGCAATTGTTTTATTTTGACGTACTAATCCTAATAAGATTGAATTAATAATGGTTTCGAACATCATAAGTAATCTTTAAAGACTTCGAAATGCCGCTAGACTCACGGAGTTATCTTTGGATTAGAACATCTGATATTTTAAAAGCATTTTTCATTAAAGACATTTTTCAATATAGAATTTGTGAATGCAAATTTGATCGTATACTTATTTTGGACAAAGAACTTATGCGGTGCTACCGCATGACAAATCGTTTAATATTCAACACGTATTGAAGGAGTAATAATAAATGTATTTATATCTTGTCAGATACCCGAGAAAAATAAGAGAGAGATAGATGATTGCGAGAAGTTATTGGTTAAACAAAAAGAGAGTAAGAAACAAGCAGAGGAAGAATTACAGGTGGTTATGGCAGGCGTCAGGTATGTGACATGCTGTACTTGGTTCATAACATTTGTCTGTGGATTGTACACATTATGAAAGGCATAAATTTGCACCTGAATCTGAATTCCTTATCAGGAAATCGAATACTCGAACTCGAACAAATGCAATAGACCGTGGCCACTGACCAGCCTAAATATCAGCAACAGTTACAGATGCGATTCCACATTGGTTCCATGTTACGAATGAACTTTTATGTGTTGTTTTAATTCTGGTGTATACTCTTAACTAGCTTTATTGATTTTTTACACAAGCTTTAGCTGCTCAGCCTATGATTGTAGCTATAAAACAATATTAATATTTCAACTCTTGACTACAAATATACATGGGAAATTCTTTGGTTTTACATTTAAATTTGCAAATTTTGATCTACGTTTTAATCTATATTTTGCACCATCGTAATAAGGTCCAAGACTCAAGGCCTCCAAGAAAACAAAGACAAGCTGCAAGCTAAACTAATGGAATTGAAAAAAATCGTGGATGAAGCGAACAAGGAGTATAAGCTAGCTGAATCTGAACTCAAAATTTATCTGAGTACAGAACAGAAAGAGACACAGAAACTAGAAAAGATGAAAGAAGATTACGAAAAAGCAGTGAAAGATTTGGAAGAGAAGAAGTCGTAAGTATAACTTTTGTTTTCACCTGTTTTTTTTTAATTCTTTGACTCTGACCTGTTCGCCGAGAGTTGACAAAAAAGAAAACTGGGGTTTTCATTTCAAGTCGCGGGCCGCTAATTTATTTTGTATAAAAAAATCAAGACTTTTTTGTATGTAGTTGGTTATTTCTATTCCTATATGCATGATTTGTAATTTTTATTATTGATTGAAAAATATTTTGAGTGATATTAATTATAAATTAAATAAATAAAACATTTTTGAAGTTTCAAAAGTGTTTGAAATTAATATATTCCCACAAAAGCAATTAATGTATAAATTTTAATCATTTTAAAAGCCCGCGTTATTTGCATCTCAGAGAACGTGGTATATTCATATTTTCAGTAAACAAATCATAAGGATTAATCAAATTTATTATATTTTAGGTCGCAAGAAGAATTATCATCCACGCTTCCTACCAACGAGAGGAAATTAAATGAGATACAATCCCAGTTGAGTAATTTGAAGAAAGAAGAGTCTGCTGTGTCCAGCGAAGCTAGATCTTTGAGGTGAGATAGTGATTTTATTATAATTTGAGTACAATTTTATCTGCCATTGTACACTTTAATGCTCATTCATCATAGGGTGCTACTATGGTACTGTATTATATCAAACGAATGAAACTATCGAATATGCTGATGGCGCATGAATTAAATACATTTTTTTTTCATAAATTGTGTCTATAAAATCCTTAATCCTAAAACAACAAAATCAGCATACAGCTTTGATTGCTGAGATAATTTCGCGTAGAATGAAATAACAGCTCGATAGCACAGGAATGGGGTATTCTACTCTGTTTGAAATAGTACTTGTAAGTGTTTTTGTAAGCCTTAAAGCAAATACTTGATTTAACATTTTATCAAAATTTACATTTTTTAACATCCGCGTTACCCTGTCCGCCATATTCATGACGTCATCCCGGTATGAACACAGAACAGATGCTTTAAGAAGATTGAAAGACGAAACAAGAATAGTGCCATCTAGCGATTGACTACAAAATAAATAGATGTAAATAGGTAAAAACAGCGTCAACTAGAAATATGATTTATAGTAAACAGCATATGTTTACCACTAATTTGACAGACGTTGCCGGAGCGACAGATGTTGTCACAACATGGCGGGTCGCGTTTCAAGTCACGTGACACAGTCATAAAATCTTGATTTTTTTTACAAATAAAAGCACTTTTTAGATAATATCTTGTATAATGCATCAATTCATGATCGAAACATTTGGTTTATAAAACGAGACACTATTTGAACCTGCATTCATGTTTTGTATTATCTGTAATACCTTTAAAAGTGGTCGCCTTAGTCCTAGTTACTACGCGTAATGTTTTTAGGAGAGTAAGAGTTGCAGGACGATGTAAAACAGTCTATCTTCATCAACAATATAACTATCAATTGTTTTGCTGTAAAAGTTATTATTTAAGCAAGTGGTTTGTAGTATGAATATTGTTTTTGGTAATATAGAGCGCAGTTAGAAGAGTCACGCCAAGCGATGAGCGCGAACAAATCCCGTGGGCGGGTTTTGGACGCGCTGATGAAAGAGAAGAAAAGTGGGAGGTTGCCCGGAATATTTGGGAGATTGGTATGATAATTGTCTTGTTATTCTTTAGTGTAAACAATCATTTTTTAAATATGAAATTTCAAGGGGCGATTTTCAGATTCCTTGAGAACCATAATTGCTCTCTAACAAAACTACTTTAAAAAATAATAATAATTAAACTTGCATCTCGAATGTTGTTGTTAGGAAAAGGTTGAGTCGTTGAGTGTTAGAAAAAGGGTTTTTAGTAATCCAGCCAGTCATTTATTGTAAAATTAAAAAAAAAATCATATCATCATAGGTTTATGCTAATGCGGATATGACGAAAACATTGGCGTTATAAAGTTATCTAGATATTTGATAAACGAAATCTTAGTAGCTGTATGATAGCTTAGCACGAAAAGTTAAGAATGGAAACTATTTTTAATACTATATATTTATAATTACAAATGAATACAGGCATATCCATATTATGTCAACATAACCTCATAAAAAAAATCCTAATAAAAAGCTAATTTTATTGTTACTAAATGTATTCCAGGGTGATCTAGGCGGTATTGACGCTAAATATGACGTAGCAATATCTACTTGCTGCGGTGCATTAGATAACATAGTTGTCGATACTGTAGAAACAGCGCAAGCGTGCGTGGAATACCTCAAGAGAAACGACGTTGGCAGAGCAACATTCATAGCATTGGATAAACAGAACCATCTATTGCAATACATGCACAATAGGAACTCATAGTCAGTATATCTTTTTTAATCATCATAAGACAGGGTGTCATTTGAATAAAATAAGGTACTGTCACCTAATAACGCCCACTGTTTTCAACCGCTGGAGTGCTCAAAAACTAACTAGTATATATTTTAATAATAGTCCCACACTGATAGATCATTACGGACGACAGTATAATAAAATTTGAAGCTATACCACATAATTTTTTTGCACTTTGGCAGTGAACGTTATTAGAACAGTGGGCGTTATTAGCCGAGAGTACCTTATATGAAAACAAAAAGAAATGTCATGGTATATTAATATTTAAAACAATCAAGGAAATTTCCTAATATATACTGTCCTGCTTTAGTAACAATTAATTTGGTATGAATCATCTTTCATATTTTAATTTGATTTAGATCAATGCCATTAACACCAAAGAGTGTGTAAGAACCTATCTAAGTTTATTTGCGATACGCTATTACGGTTGTATCTTATCTTCCCTTTTTGTTCTTAGCAAAAAGAATTATGAAATAATGCAGATAGTATCAAAATGGCAGATGTCATTAAATATGCATTTACCGATTTCAGTCCTGAAAATGCTCCGAGACTTTTCGACCTTGTGAAAGTGAAAGACGATAGAGTTCTTCCTGCATTCTATTTCGCTTTGAGAGACACATTAGTCGCTAAAGATTTAGAACAAGCGTCTAGAATCGCTTACGGACATACGAGATACAGGGTGGTCACACTAAACGGTGACGTCATTGAGATTGCTGGTAACCATTTCATTATATTCATATTTTTAATGAATTGTTGCTTTTTAGCGATAAACTTGTGAATTTTATTACTGTTTATGTCTTCCCTTCCTATGTTCATTGTGATGTACGAATTTTTATGTGTGCTTTTGCACATTAGGTGAACAAAATATTTGTAATAATTTTCGATTTTACATTTTATATGATATGAGTAAGTTATAGGTATAATTGATTTGATAAATATATAACCTTCTGTGTTGTTTTCTTTTTTAAGGTATTCCTTATTTCGTTAAGAATAGTTTTGAGTGTAAACTTATGTTAATATTTTGTTTATATTATGTATTGCCTTTTTGAAAACTAAACATTTACATGAAGACTTAAATTAAAACTGAGCCTAGTTTTATGTGTAATGTTTCTTAATAAACGAACGACATACATATTTAACTTTAATTCCAATCAATTGCTGAAATATGACTTATATTGTGTTTACTTGCATTTGCACGGAACACTTTTTGGGAAACACTGAACTATGCTACTTCATATGAAGTAAAACTAGAGTGAGGCTCGTAGTAGTGTAGTATCTATAAAAAAAGACGTTACTATGTCATAAACGTGGTAGACTTGTTTATATATAAAATTATTGTATGAATAAGGTACCATGTCGGGTGGTGGTAAAACAACGATGCGCGGAAGAATGTCCAGTTCAGTACAACAAGACACCAGCGAACAAGATCCACGTATCATGCAACAGAACGAAAAGAAACTAGCCACCTTAGAGCAGAGGTACGGTTTACGGTGGAAACAATTACATTTTATTATTAGACACGTCATAACTTTATATCATTGTGTTTTAAAACGGCGTAAACTTTATTGTGGTAGCGTTACATTGTAATACAACCAAAAAGGGTGCGAAAAAATTAAAATAGTTATCTCCCTAAAAGAATCATATAATATACCTCTTGTTAGAACGAGATAAACATACTTAGCTTTCCCGTAGTCATAGAACACGATGTACGACAAAATGGCCGCGTGCAATGACGTTTTATTAATATAAATAATTTAAAGAAAATCAAAAAATCCGACTGCGTTAAAACGAATTTTAAAAATTACATGAAATACTTAACTTAAATAAAAACTAAAAACAAAGAAACAAGCCAAGTAGTTTAGAATTCTGTTCAGTAATACTAAATAACTGCACAATTGAAATAGTTTTATAATTGATACGCACATAAAATAAATCATAAATTATAATGCAGAACAGAACGACTCACAGTCGGGGCCCATTCAAATTAAAACAATTAAATCTTCCCAAGGGGTGTAATTTGTGCATTGTTTAAAGACAGGAAGGCATTTTTTCTACAACTTTTCATGGAAAATTACGTGTGAAAATGACATTAGCCACAAGCTGAAACGTGATTAAAGTAAAACTAGGACAATTGCCTTGCTTTTTTGTTGTCACTATTGTGCGCAAATAAGCCATCTTAAGTTTTTAAGACATCATTGGGTGTAAATATATTTATGTTTCACTTTGTGACGTTGTTGCTGTCGCATGTTGTTTCATACATTAGAATGAATTAAATGAAAAAAATTATATCTCAAATGAATTCTCATGAAACTTACTCATGTGATATCTCGTGGACTTCATAGTGTTAGAAACTATCTAAATTTCAAAGGGTTCATCAAAACATCTAAAACTATCTAAATACCCAAATATGAAGTTTTATTTTAAATTATTATCTTTTTGTTTATGTAAGATTATCGGAGCTACGTAGCGAGCAAGGAAATCTAGAAGATAGCGTAGTATCATTACAAAGGAGCACACGTGAAGGGAAAACCACCCTAAATAAATTGAAAATAGAGCTGAAGAGTTTGACTGAACAATTACCAAGTTTGCAGGTGAGGAAGATTTAATTTTGATTTTTACAACAGTATAGATATTACCTGTATTGAGATATTAAAAAAAGATGTAAAATAACTAAGAAAGTGGTTAAAGTTTTGATAATTGCTGATAAAAGAGGATAAAAAGAGAAGACAAAGTAAAGTTCCGACAATCACAAATTCTGATTGTTTTTGTTGTCTTAATAAATGTTTCATAAACTTATTGTAAAGGTATGTCTGACGAAGAGATCAAATATAACCAAAATATGTATGAGAAAAAGACTAGCAATTAAGAAAAATCTCTTACACTTTTGTACTTGCTTTACTTGAACAGAGTCAAATAAAACAACAAGAGCACAAAGCGGCTACCAGTAAAGTGGACGGTAAACAGAAAACTAAACTAGAATCAGCACTTGAAGCGGCCAAGGAGAAGCTCGATAAAGCAAAAGCAGACGCTGGAGAGGTAAGGAAAATACCCTGTATAACAAAATATCAGGTGAACGGTTCTATTAGAACATTGAAAAATCGACTTTATTCGATTTTTTTTAGGTAGAACAAGAAGTGCACGAAGTTGATGTTCAAATATCTGCAGTTGCCGGTGGTAAAGTGAAAAGTCTACAAAGCAATGTTGATGATCTCACTAAGAAAATAGATAAGATTTCCAAAGAAATCACTAAATTGAGGGTCGCTATTAATACTAGCATAAGGTATAGTTTCCATTACCAAATTTTAATTACGAAAAAATCGGTTAATCACAAAAAAATAATAACCAAAGATGAAAACAATATTAATATACGACTTTAATATTGAATTAAGTAAATTTTATGATTACGTATCGGTACAGCGACTGTCGCTTAATAATCGCAATCTGTATGATAGTTATCAGTAGGCGAGCTTACTTTTGTGGTACAAGGCAACCAGGTATTAATATTAATAATTAACATTTTCTTGTTAAATAAAGTATTTTGGGTATTTTAAGTCGTAATAGTGATGGATATTTAATAGTAATAACTGTAAATGTCATTTTTTTATTTATTTCGATAACATTCGTTCGAAAAATCTTGCAGATGCTATAATAATTAATGACATATATATAGAAAATGATCTCATGCTTTTTAGGGTTTCGTAGTCAACAATGAACCCTTATGGTTTTTTCCATGTCTGTCTGTCCGCGGTTTTGCTCAATAACTATTAGAATGGTAAAATAAAATATTGAAAAATATATTTTCGAGTACCTCCTCTATGTGTAAAGTGAGGATGATATATATTTTTTCATCTTCCCCATAATGTGGGGTATTATAGATCTTTCAACAATATATAAATATTTTAATATCCATTTTTTCGTTTTTGTAAACCGTTCGTGACTTTTGTAGCTTTAATGACCCAATATTCATTAGTTGTCCTCCACCTCTACCAACTAAACAGTTGTTAAAAATTAAAACATCGACGCGTAAGTACCTACCCCTATCAATAAAACATTCCGTTAAAATGTCAATAATATAAAGTGATATATATGTTAAAAGTATTTCAAAAAATATACATCTAACATAACATAATATAAAGTTCCGCTACTTGTCAATAGATAGAATTATGCGTTATTTGTATCGGTCTATTTATTTATATAATGAACTTTATTGACCAGTAAAGAATTGGTACAAAAGGTGGACTTAGGGCCAGTTTTTTGATCCGTGGTTAACTCAACCATTTGTTAAAATCTTTGACAAATGGTTAAATATCAGAAAAATATGTTTTTTGATTAATAGTTAGCCTAACCAATTGTCAGAATTACAACCATTTGTCAAAAAATTTAACCATCACTGGAAGCTAGGTTAAGTAAATGACCAATTGTTAAAAGAACAGATGTACAACTGGGTTGTATTTACTTGGTCCCTTGTTATTGCTTTTTGTTTTTATAACCTACATGATTTCATAGTGAATTTGGATATTTTTGGGATTTCATTTTAATTAATGAATATTTTCATAGGAAAATATTGTCATTTTTTGGTTATAGGGTTATTGAAAATAAGTTATATTTTTATCTCGATCATCCTTAGTATATTTGTACTATATAGAAATATTTTTTCTTGTTTCCACGGGCAGATGCCAAATTATTAAATTATTAAAAATCTTATAAATTCCACGATTGACAATACAAAAGGTAAATATGCATAAAATACATAGTCCTAAAATAAAAAATAAAAAAAATACTAGATACTTTCTTTTCACGTATTTCTCTATAAGATAAATAAAAAACAAATATATGCTTTTTATAAAATAGTTAAGTTTAAAATAACTGGAAAAAACATATCTTTGTTGCTTTCTAACATTATTATACATTTTATTTGCAAATTGCCTTATTCTGCCTGAAAAATAACACATTAATGCACACAACAGAACAACCATAAACATCCACACTGTTTGATAATCTATAGATTTCTTTCGTCTATTTGATATTTAGAACAAAATCCTAATGTCAAAAATGGTATATAGTTCGCTTCGTTCATTCAAACCGTTAGTGTTGTCACCCAGAAAAAATTACCCATGTCAATGTAAAGCGAAAAACGATTCATTGTGCTGGCAACAAATTGGCCAGTGGTTAAATTTGGCTATGGTTTAATTTGGCATCAAAAAACGAAATAGCGAGTTAACAACTTGTTATTGTTTTAACTATAGTCAAGTTAACAAATGGTGAAATGACATTTGACTACGGATCAAAAAACTGGCCCTTATTGTATATTATTTCATCCCCGACAAATATTGTCACAAGAAATTGAACTTCATATATATTTTTCCTATACGGAGTTAAATTCAAAATACTGACCAAGTTTCAGTTACAAATTTTAGAAGTCAAAACAAACTTTTTACACCAAAGTCATATTAAAATCTCAAAAAAATTAGATTTTTTCCATACAATATTGATTAGTTAAGTATTTGTATGGGAAGTTAAATTAGGAAGTAATATTTGGCTTTTAGTAAGAGCATGGAACGGAAGTCTCGGTCAGCTAATCCTTGACTTGACTGGAAACTACGGAACCCATCCCGACACGCACTTGAATGCTTTTTTAAATTTCCCATCGGTAAAAATAAATTAGTGGGCACTATATAAATGAAAACTTTTAAAAGAGCAAAGCTTTTAAATATATATATATTTTTTAATAGAAATGCGAAGCAATCTAAAGACAAGATAAACCAAATGGAGACGGACTTGAAGGAGACCGAGAAGAATTTAGAAAACTTGAATAATCAGAAAAAACAACTCACTTTGGACAGTTCACAGCTTCAGAAGGAAATGGAAGAGGTGAGTATACGTCTATGATGTCTATAATCTTTGGATATTTATTTTGAAAATAGAATAGGGAAAAAGAAAAATTTTTGTTTGACCTCAGTTACGTTATTGAAGAATATTAAACACGTATTTTTTTCGTGATCAATAAATTACGGCGATACATTGGGATGAAATGTCGCTTGATATCACACCTTTGTATATTTTTTACAGAGTTGTGACGTAGCAAGCCCCCACTCTTCTATTTTAATGCCGCTTATTGCTAAATTGAAGCATGAAAAAATGAAAAAATTCGCATGTAATATTTTTCTCTTATTTGACTGACGGAATAAATAGAATTTCTTTTCTTTTTTACCCAGTCGTCATCCATAATGTACAGTTCACGTTTTTTTTTTGTGAATATTTTACCACTATAAAGATAACACACAATGTTGTATGATTTAGCTCGAGGAACAAATCAACGAGGGCACTGGCGAGTTCTCAGAGTTAAAACGGGAGATAGCTAAGCTACAAAGTAAGGAGAACAAGATAAAAAGTGAACGTTTAGAAGCTAATAATGCTGTCAATAAGATGGATCACTCAATACAAGACTGCAGAAGTAAAACGCCCATGTGGGAGAAGGAGGTACAAATAAAACATATGTCATGTTAATTAATGTCACATAAAATATAATTATTTCATACAAATATTATGAAAGTGAAAGGTTTATTGTTTTTACTCGATATTATATTTTCAACAATATTTACGTAAAGGCTATGAGGGTTGTATATCTTTAGTAAATGCGTTAACAAAGTTAATTTAATGATCATATCCGCTCATAGTCAATTTAAAAAAAAATTGTTAAAAAACATATGAAATGATGCATGTTTTTTTACAACAACCCAAGTGATTTGATCTTTGCTCAAAGTTCTGTATTTCTTTTGCGTTACGGATTTTCGACATTTAATTAATTTATTTGCAGCTATTTTTGTTAAAACTAAGTTTTTATGACGTTACATTTTGTTTCTAATTTTGAGTAGTTACAAGCATTAAGATTTTTAGCATGACTAACTGGATCATAATTTAAAAATGGTCACAATGGGTTGTCTGCCTTATGTGAATCGTTTAAAGTTAGGTTAGCATACAGAATTTTCAGCAACAATGACAAAATATTAATTTTCAATTATGATGGAAATAGCTGTATTTTCACCTAATCATTAAATATGATACGCCATATTTTAGCTTACAACATTAAAATTAGAAGATCCCGGCCTAGATGGTATTCCAGGAATAGAGAGACCGGCGCCTCTAGAGAAACCAACCCCTGAAGAGTTAGATGATGTATCGGTTGAGGAACTGAGAAATAGATTGGCCGCACAAAAGGCTAGACTAGGAGATGCCAAGCCTAATATACAAGCTATACAGGTTTTTATATCATTTTACTTCTGACTTTGTAGGCTTACGGTCTTAAAACGGCGTAAATTTGTAATGACACAGCTTTTGTTTTTATGATACTTGACTTGTTATTTTTTTGTATGGGTAGTCGTTATCGAAAATGACTTTTACTTCACGTAGATTTTTTTTGATATGCAATCTGACTTCATAGTTAAAGCTTTGTCGAGAACAGCTAATTCGAAAATTATTTATTTGATTTTTCTAGTAACGATTCTGAGTAATGAGGTCAACAAAACTTGCATTTGCCAAATTATGTGTAAGAATCCATATTATCAATCATAGCAGGTTACTATAACCTTGTTTCTAAAACAAAATAATCTATACTAATTTACAATACTATATTTATAAGAATTGTAAAGTAATACAGTTGTCTTTTTCACTTGAACTGAAAGTCTCATAGGAATAACGTGAACAGAGCTATGTGTAACCAAACAACGGTTATGATTCTTATTAGTAAGGACATAAGAAAATTAATATGTAATCATACTTATTATAATATAATATTTATAAGTGGGAAATGTTTATTTGTTCCTTTACGTCGCAGCGGATCGTCGTTAGCTTCCTATGACCTTTTGGTTGCAGTTAGTAACCTTATAAATTAAAAAATAAAGACTCAATATTATTTCGAGGGTATTTAGAAAAATAATATTTTAATGTATGATAAAATCACAAATATTTTAACAGGATTACAAAACAAAAGAGGATTTATATCTGAAACGTGCAGCGGAATTGGATGAGATTACAACCAAAAGAAATGAAATGAGAGCCCTCTATGATCAACTCAGGAAAAAGCGAACTACGGACTTTCTGTGTGGTAAGTACACACAATATTAGGTTTATAGTGGTTTAAGTTTTAATTATTTTGTTAATATCAATTCCACTTTGCTCATGACTTCAAATGTTTGTAAAATTAATAACTAAATGACTTGGAATTCTTACACTATTACAAATATTTTTGTAACTCAAACTTATACAGTAATATTAATAAACTAGGTTTAGTGAAATTTATATTATACAGACAATAAGCAAATCTACTATCTTTAAGGAGTAAATATTACTCCCGAAGAACCTCGTACTCGGTTAACCTTTGCCAAGCCTCTGTTTAATAATATGAATTTTGAGTAATACTAAGTGCAGTCTCAGCGTAAATTTACTCCAATGGTAAATCTTGAGTATTAATAACATTCATAATATCTGATACAACTGTAAGCTTTATTGATATCGAAATAAAATTGAAATTAATCTCAAACGTGATTTTGTTATCACCAACACTGCAATGCACGAAATCACCTACACTGAATGCACTACCAAGTGCACGATAATATTAACGGCCGACACGTGCATTTGCCGGCTAATGCTAAAGGCCCACCACTCGCATATGTAGTATACTACACGATCTATCTATACGTATTATTACGACATATCCCTTGTGGAGTAGGCAGAGAATATCGATCGTTCCGAGACTATTTACATACTGAAAAAAAAAATGAAAATATCTTTATTCAAGTAGGCTATTACAAGCACTTTAGAATCGTCCAAAAATTTTTTTTCTCCTACCACTTGTTCAGGACGTCTTTTAGCTGACAAGAAGAATAAGCGAAAGGAACTTACCAGCTCTTTATCATAAGTAATGACATTTACATAAATCATGTCATTACCAAAATAATATGTATTATCACAATAATAAATACAACTTTCAAAGTCTGTAGGACATAGGTTGAACATAATTAGTCTTTATAGAACAAAGCGAAGGTTATTAATTCCATGCATTGCGATCCTTAAAACAATCATCTTTATATGAATTTTAAATTTATTTATGGGTAGTACTTTTTTCGATTGCTCGATATTCATAACTGTTTGCAACTGTTAAAAAAACTAATTACATCATTTATTTAAGCAGAGGTGACAGGTCATTGTTGCTTGACATTTATTTACTTAGTTCGAATGATATATACATTCGACTATTACAGAATGAATGTGACTATGTTGTATCTTATCATCATAATCAGCAGCCTTCCTTAGATGGTTAAGGAGAATATGCCATAACCCACCATTCAAGTCCAATACGGATTGGAGGGTATTAAGGACAAATGCAGCTGGGACGAACGGCTTAACGTGCCTTCCGAATATAATTTTTGCTCGAGATAATAATTTTTTAGTCATCCATTCCTGTGCCCGACCCTTGCGAATGTTGCTTAACAACAACGGGCGGCGGCGCACTTTCACTATGCCATTGAGGTATTCTATATGCAATATATAATGAAAAATAATACAATAGATAAAAGTCACTAGCTACAGAAGTTTGTAAACACGACTGCATGTCATGTTACCACAATATGTCAAATTGCATCAATCGATTTTAAAACTATCCACAAACCATTAAGATTTAAAATTAAGTGAAAAAAAAATTGACAGATTTGTATAACCTGATGTGTTATTGACTGTACTATATTTAATGTTTTGTTACAGGTTTCAATACAATAACAACAAAATTAAAAGAGATGTATCAAATGATAACTCTAGGAGGCGACGCCGAGTTAGAGTTAGTTGATTCACTAGATCCTTTCACTGAAGGAATTACATTTAGGTAAGTGAATCATAGGTTTTTTAAAATAGTGATTTTGGGATTATCTTGATTAAGTACTTGAGACATTCATTAGAGTAATTATGTGGCATGTTTAATCTACTTAATAATATTATATAGATAGATAAATTTATTTATTCAGACAACAACACACAACTACATTACAACTAGTACAATACAAATAACAGTTGAAAACAGAATACGTAATGATATAAGTGATATACCTGTATATCAATATTTGGACTAAATTTATCTTTCCTAAGATGTATTATCATAATATCAGTGACATGATGGAAATAGTTTCAGCTTATTTTCCTCTTTTACATTATCAGCTTTTTCATTTATTGTAGTCAACAGAACTTATCCACAGCAGTTACTGTCGGTTTTGTTCAAATTGCTTATCAAACTCAAAACATGGAAACAAAATTAATGAATTTTCATATCTTATGCCATTTTTTTTTCTATGTTAATATTTTTATCTAATTATATTCATAGCGTTCGACCCCCCAATAAATCGTGGAAGAATATATCGAATCTGTCCGGAGGAGAGAAAACTTTATCGTCCTTAGCGTTAGTGTTCGCCCTACATTACTACAAACCGACGCCCCTTTACGTCATGGACGAAATAGATGCGGCATTGGACTTCAAAAATGTCTCCATTGTTGCAAACTATATTAAGGTATGGTATACCTTATATTAATTTGTTTATTTTACAAAAAATATGTAGCTTGGGTAGGTATACAAATATCAATTGGCTATTGGACAGTTATAAAAATAAATTATGAAATATGTTGGGATTGGTAACTTATATGTAAATAATAACTATTTAGTATTTTTATTTTTTAAATAAATTGCAAGTCTTTTTTATTTTTGCTAAAATTAACTTGCGATTTCTAGTCTGTGGATTATAATAACGGTAACGCCCGTGTTACCGTTATAATGGACGGCGGCCATGATGGAGCATCGTGTCATTTCACATTTCATTAAACTTAACGATAGCGTCCTTGTTGTTTTAGCGGGACATTTCAAATTAATGAAAAAAATATGATTTTCCTTTATTTAATAATACTTTTTGGAACTGCTAATGGTCAGTTGCACAAAAGTTAATTAAGGTTTAATGACGCCCTTAAGCTCTAATGAATATTTGTATCGGTAATGTCGCTTTAAACTAATGAAAATTTTAATAAACGTTTGTGCAACTAGCTGTGAATCTGATAGTGGTTTAATATGATCATATGAAAATTTCAAATTCTTATTCCAAAACAGTTAAGTAGTTTAGATTAAGTTACTTAAACTTTTTAACGTAAAATTATACGTTATCTGAAAATACTTATTTAAAATTTTATATATTTCAGGAGCGCACGAAAAACGCTCAGTTCATCATAATATCGCTGCGATATAACATGTTTGAAGTATCAAACCGTTTGGTCGGAATATACAAAACGGAAGATTGCACAAAGTCGGTGACCATCGAAAATAAAGTGCCCGAATTGCCCGCCGATGTTGTTGCTTAGTGTTTACATAAAAGGTCTCGTTTTGAATGTGCCTTGTGTATTAAATCCTTTAAACATTTATTGTAGTATTACATGTTTTTTTATTACATTATAAGCATTATATTTTCTGTTTCAATTATCCGCCAACCCGCCTTTGCTGCTCTCTGGTTGTTTTCATGGGAATATTGGATTAAAGTATAAATACTGAATTACATATTTAAAATGCCACACTGTAAAATAAAAACTATACTGGAAAATATTTTTATTAAAAATACTTTAAAAATCCACTTTGTCCATGGCACTTTGAAATGGGACTTGGACCCTTGACCTTTCGTTATCCGGGCGACTAGTTCGATTCCTATCTTAGATTGCCAGCGATACAGTGGATTTTATAAGCATTTTTCATTAAGAGCTTATTAGAAGTTCAGACATAAATTTGTGGATGTTAAATAAAACGACCAAAAATGTTAACTTTGTTTTAAAATTTATTACACCATTATAGGTAAACATCTCGATATACATACATACAAGATTTCATAAATAAATTAAAACAATTGTACATACAAGCGTTCGTAATCAAATCAGGTGCCTTACTATGGACTAATGACGCTAGCCGAAAGCCAAACTGCGATATTAGACGGCACTGTAATAAATCTGGCCATAAACACTGTTAGAATAAAAAATATTAATTTCGAATCTGCTATTTATTTATATATGATTGTTCAATGGCTCTGTTTATTTTCCCTTCAATACATTATAAAAAAAAGTGATATTAAAATGGAGTGGGGTGATAAAGGGCATTAATTGCATTACACAAATTAGGTATGGAGTCAAACACACTTCAAAACCTTCCGTAATATGCTTGATATTTAAAATGTTTTTGTATCTATTGATAGATATTATATCGAACCTTAACGTTTTAAGGACTGTATTGCAGCCAATGGAGACCACTTCGAATGAGCTATTTATATTTTTAACGATTTTATATTAATATATTAAACTATCAACTAACAGTCATAGTAATGAATGTTGATTTCTATGTGGCAAGACTGTATTTATCTTTGATTTTGGCCGAGAATATCTTTTCATTTACATAAGGAAAATCAAAATATGGTTACCATCACTTTTGAAAATAACAGTATTGTTAGTGATTTTTATTATGGAGTTGATTCCGATTTATGATATCAATGATGTTAATAAGGATATGACTGGAATTACAGTGCCTCGAGTTTATTTAATATTCAAAGAGAATGATCAACGTCGATATTATATTATGCTAATACAACATTTATTTCAATCTCTGAACATATCCATATCATAGTTACTCTTAATTAGCAAAGATAGTAGCTAAAAACTTCATAATTGGTCAACGATAGTAGTTTGCCCGTCATGTATTGCTTAGCCAGAGAACTCATAGGGTTGCAGTACTCTCTGCGTCAGTCCTTTGTGTATAAAGGCTAATTTACACGTAGTTAAGTAGTAACGTGTAAAAACACAATAAGTAATAATTAAAATTACTTATGAAGTAATTGAATTTTAAAATTAGAAACTATTTATCTACTGTAACGTGTAACGCAGCCATAATACTTTGCCTGGTAGTAATACTAGCTGCGCGATATTGAAAAATTACTCTGATTTTGTTGTGTAAACAAAACATCGTTAAGTCAATAGCGTAGTTGTGTTTATTTATTGGAGTATCTATGTTTTTTCTTTACTTATGACCAGTGTTATCTGCAAGCATATTGCACGACCAGCACCAGCATATAGTGGTTGTATATATGCAATCGGAAAATATTATTATCATTGCCGTATCGTTTACTTCTTACTAGTACTAGTAAGTGCTCGTAATGTATCACAATCTTAGTTCAGAAGAGCTTTTTCAGTAGCATATTACATATTGTACATATACATTTGACGTTTCTCAATAATTATAATATTTTGAATACACATTTATTTATTTAAATGTTGAATATTTTTATAAAAAAGTCGCGATCGTAATCTCTGTCTCATATTAAATTAGTTCATGCGTAACTATATTTCAAATCTCAAATTAAAGGGGATGGCGATAATTTTAAAATAAAACAATTCATCTCATGCTTTTCCGCAGTGGCTTAGTGTAAGAATTGCTTCTTGAGTTCTCAGGCTTCATCGATGCCACCTCTTGCATGACTGGTGTGGTGTGGTCGTGCGATATGTTTTTTTTTACAAAATATGAAATAGGAATATTTTATTTTAACGCGTCAGTACATACTGTTGATTTCAAATAAACGCATATTGCAGGAACAAATAAAATATTACAATAATTAACTAAGATATAAATGTCGCAAATTTCAATTAGAACGGGGCATTCGTATCAGATGAGCTGTAAGCGACGGAAAATCATTGAATAATAACTAAATTATTAGATTAATTAAAAAGCTTGTCGATTTTATTATTCGTAACATTAAGAGATCTCCAAATTATGCCTAATACATATACTTTATAAGGACACTCGAGCTTGATTCACACATGTCAGTGAAGTCACTGTCTATATTGTCTCGGATCTGGGTGTTGTGGCAACTGCGTTATCTCAGATACTCCATAATACTGGGGCTTTAGCTATTCACCTTGAAATCTGAGTATGTAATGTTGTTTATTTCTTTACTTTATTATCCGATGAGCTTTTATACTAGAGTACGTAAACCAGGTTTTGAGACGTAACGCGACTATCAAGAGAGTAAATCACAGTACATTATAACGTTAAATATTACATTTGAACAATTTTGAATTTATAATACTATATTGATATTTAAAGAAAAATGCTTAAAAATTTCGCCGATTTTTTGATTTGAAATTGACTGATTGATCTGTTACTATGCATGTGCGAGAAACTGATGGATTACTGTTATCTTTCCTCTCTTTTTAACCGTATTACATTTTCACTCAGACGCATCCGTATGTGTTCCCTACTCTAATCTAATACAATATGGCTCTGTTATTATCAAGTTGGCTTCACAAGATATATGTGAATAAGTCTTTAAATGTGATATTCGACTTTATACGACCGCACGATCAAACATTTACATAGAAATCTATTTAAATACATGTATCTATTTAAGTGTAACTGGTCGTACGATTGTAACCAATAGGGAATATGCAAATTTTTTGAAAATGTTTTCATATGATAATTAAATACATCTTTTTTATAACTGTAAAAAATCACCCGGAACCGAAAAACTAACATTTAGTTACAATAATCGGTGAAAATATGTAACAACTACGAGCAGTTTAAACGCTGGTATTTTTGGTGTGCTTGTCGTAACGTCAAAAAACACGACTAGTGATATGTCATTTTTGATCGATTGAATAATATTCAATTACTCAAATCGATTAATAAATAATCGAATTATTATTAAAGTATATTAAATTTTTTAATATACCTATAGTTCATCCAATCATATATGTAGTTTACCAAATTGGTAATTTAAAATAAAAATAAAGCCTAAACATAATTTAAATTGTACTCTGTTTATTTTGCTACATAACACATTGATGTAAATTTTTTGTAAAAACGACATCCCTATTCGTGTACATTTAATTCATATCCGTCCTGACAAGTAGTCAAACGCCATGTTTGAATATATTGAAGTTACCGCATTTGTTTTGAATTTTTAATAATTATTTTCAAGAGAAAAACGAACTAATATTGAAAAACATTTACATAAAGCAATAATTATCGTAATAAAATATATTTAACCATTTTTGAATCAGACGCATATTCCCTATTAGGATAAGACAATATTGGTTAGATGTTAAACATGTAATAAGTTTGTATTATACATATCGCACACCTAGATCTAAGCTAAGACAACTCGAAAAACTAATGTGGTCTGACAATACATTTGTTTACGTGGCAGGAGCGCGACCACTGTTGATTCAACATAAGAAAGCTAAACTTTCTAGCGGCTCATCCCCGAACCTTTATTGAATCTGTTATGTTGGATATCTATCCAACATAACAGATTCAATAAAGGTTCGGGGATTGTACGACCGCACGCATCGCATCTGCGTATGATCACCGAGTATTTGAATATTGTACTAAGTCAAAACTCACTCAAATTTTTGAGTTGTCTCAGTTTAGATCTAGGTGTGCGATATATCCAATTGATGTTGACTGTATAGTTAGTAGTACATATATGTTATAATGGAAGTGTTCATTAAACGTGTCTTAATATGTAACATATATCTACATTTAAATTAAAATAAAGATAAAGATGTAATAACTTCTCAACTTTTAACCAGTCTCATGTAGCAATGCTACTCTGCATTGCGCTGCTGATAAAATATATTTTTATCGGCATAGATAACAGTTAAATTTATATTTAAAATCGCAAAGTATCCATATTTACTTTTCAATTTTTTCAATAACTTCAATCGAAATAAGACAAGAAGTAAGGGAAAAATAAAGCCGGTTGGTTAATTTTTAATCGTCCAATTTGAAACCCTATCGCAATCTTTTTTTTAAGTTATAGCGATTTTGAGCTTTGAAGCATTTATCTGTTTAGCTTTGTTTAGGGAATTCCAATTAACGATATCTTTCAATAAACATCACAATCACACTTAAAGTAGTTGACGTGAATCTCGTGGATATCTTTCATGTGTCAAATTGGAAGGGATCGCGAGATTTTTAAATTAAACAATTAGGCCTCTGTATATTTATAAGTGCAGTAAATACGTAGTTCATAAAATGTTATGCCACCTCCATATTCTTGCCAAATCGTTATTTATTCAAAGGTCTGTTTGTGTGTAGATTCGCAAGCGCTGTTAGCCGAAACGATCGGCTTTAGGTTTTTAAATCAAAGGGAATTCGCCGCAAGCGCTTGTGACGCATCCATACGTTGTCAGAGGTTTTAACTTAAAAGTGGCAAGCGTGCGAACGTGGCATAAGTAACAAAGTAAATATTTAACTTATGAAGACATCTGATCGTTTAATTATATCGTTTAAATATTCTTTAATTATTATTGAATTTTATAAACATGGGCGTACTGAGGTCGGTTTGCTGTTGACGCTAAAAGTCGATTCTGTTTCATACCCTGAATACGCCCGTATCTATAATGATATTTTAAATATTTCCTATTGTTTTTCGCAGCTTACATGTAAGTATACTGTTGCATTACTTTGTTAAACTAAACAGTCTAAATAACTTTAACATTTAGAAATGAAGGTGCGATTCAAAATTGCCGCTGCAAGAAAAGGACAGCATGTGTTCTATAGATTTCGAATTAAGTTCATAACTATATGCCTCTCCAATCCAAAAATATACTTACCGTCAAACAGTTTAATACAGTATTAGAAGCACCCGCCGTTTCTATACAATTAATAAGTCAGTTTTAAACTTCCTGCACTAATATCATGACTTCCGGCTTCAAGAAAACGTCTTTATTAGGACTTTTATTGATCTCTTCTGCCACGGACGGGTGCCAAGCGAATGTGAGCACTGTCGCTGGTACTAGTTTAAGACCAATAAGGGTTTTATCCGCGTCTTCGTCTAGTATCAACTTGTGTCCTGTTGGAGTGTTGAGAACGAAAGGTAGATCGCTGTGCTCGAGGTTCTCTCGGACGAATTCGTGGATTTCTAAATATCTTTCGTATACCGAGAACGTTCCCTAAAATAAAAGATCACTGTATATGTTTTTTTGTTTCAAATGACAAAATACTGCGACATGTTTTGGACTCTTACACTCATTCTAGTAGAGTCCTATTATTATTAGCTAATAACAGTTTTTGCTTCATTCAAATTCTCGTTTATTGGTTACAAATTAACATTATTTTTTATAAGTTCAATACTAAGGGTAAGAATTTGTCCATTTTTGATGACTATCGGAAAAATCCCATTTCAGGGTGCCAGGGACCAAGTGGATCTTTTAAGCATTTTGTATTGAGAAGTACATAAGGGTTGAGCTACATTTGGCAAAACTGTATCACCTTTTCCCTCGCCCTTAAAGTATCAATCACCAAAATCGTTTTAATTGTTTAAGCGTACAGAAAAGCTGTCTCTATATACACTAATTATTATGAATTTTTAGTTATAATAAATAATATTACCTGTAGCAATATACCGTCAGGGAAACGTATCCTAATGATGGCAAACTTGTATTTGCGCATTTCCCTCAGCTCGTCCTTTTCTCTCATTGCTTTTGTTCGTAGCATCTGACTCTTTTCTATTGCTTCAGCCCTTAATAAAAATTATTTAGGTCGTTGATAAATCGTCGTTAAACTAATATGTTATTTATTTATACCACACTAGAATAATCTATATATATATAACTCAAAGATGACTGACTGACATAGTGATCTATCAACGCACAGCCCAAGCCACTGGACGGATCGGGCCGAAATTTGGCACGCAGGTAGATATTATGACGTAGGCATCCGCTTAGAAAGGATTTTGATCAGTTCTACCCCCAAGGGGGTAAATAGGGGATGAAATTTTGTATGAAACTGGGAATTTCAAACCGATCGGGCTGGGACTTCGAATGCATAAAGCTACTATGACGAAAGCATCCGCTAAGAAAGGATATCAATCAATTCTATCCCCAAGGGAATAAAATAGGGGGTCAAAGTTTGTATGAAACTTTATTTCAGGTATTTTACACGATATAATGAATAATCATTCGTTAGAAATGCTGCTCAAAGTATATTTCCCACGCGCACGAAGTCGCGGGCAAAAGTTCGTTTACTATAAATCTTTAAATTTTAAAACAATATGATATTTATAGTTGATATATTATTGATAAAGACGATTAAATACATACCTTAATTGTGCCTCTCTCTTCATCTCCTCCGGCGTGAGTGCGTAGAAAGATGCGGGTAGTTGGACTTTAGCCGCAGCTTGTGAAGGCAATAATACTTGTAGGTTTCTGTCTAATTCTAGTTGAATCGGCTCCGCAGTACGAAGAGCATCTATTAGTGTCTAATATAAAAACAATTGACATTTAATAATCCCGATCTTAGAGTAACATTTCAAATAATATAGTTAAGAATCACATCCTTAAAGGAAAACCTGTTGGTTAAGTTTTCTAAGTTGATTCTTAAAGCGTTAATATTTTTCAATAAAATCATAAATGTGACTCACGTGTCATATGTTTGAATAATGGTGAAAACATAAACCTCCCAATAATATCGTACGTAACTATATCATATAGTAAATTATATAATTTTGCCAACTTTACACAATAGCCTAATTTTCAAATTGTCAACTCTCAATGAGGAAGTTATTAAAAAAAAAACATTAGTTCCCGAAATTAAACTAGATGTTGCTACGGTATATTCTTGGTTTCTCTATGACAACTCTTCTGGCTTTCTTTCATGTTTAAAAATAAATTAGTTTTCAAAACTCAATAAACAACTCATACAGTAGAACTCCAATTATCCGAACTCCGACTATCCGAATCGCCGATTATCCGAATCACAAAAAATTGTCCAAAAAAAGTCTAAGTGCGCTATTATTCTCCCCCCCGCGAAGCCAGTGTTTGCGCGTCAATTCTTGACTTGACTTGTCTTAACTTGCCGTTGTGCCTACACTGACTTCCCCCCGCGTGTGTAGACACAACGGCAAGTTAAGACAAGTTCCGGCGCATTGCAGTCACGGCGCACCTGTCATTGTTTGTTTTGATTAGCCAGTGTGCTATTGACCTTGCTCGAGGACGCTACTCTTTCGCTACGGCTTACTTTTGTTTGTGCGTGTACAATACTGTATTGTTTTTATACCATGACTTCGAAAAGAAAACGTGTTGTGCTATCGTTAGCGGACAAACTGAAAATTATAGAGCAACTCGATAAAGGTGTAACGGGTAAGAAGTTGTCTGAGATTTATGGTGTTGGACAAGCAACAATTTCTGACATTAAAAACAGTAAGTCGACACTTTTAAACTTTGTTTCGGTGCTTGAAAATGAAGATGGAAGTTCCTCCAGGAAAACAATGAAGACAGCAACCAACAAAAATTTGGAAGATGCCGTGTTTAAACGGTTTTTGCAGCAACGTTCTATGGGAAATCCGATTTCAGGTCCAATCCTTTGTGAAAAAGCCAAAATCTTTGCAGAAAAGCTTGGTTATTCATCTTTTAAGGCTAGTAACGGCTGGCTAAGGAATTTTAAATTCAGGCATGGTGTACGCGAGTTAGATTTGGCTGGTGAGAAGCTTTCAGCAGACTCTGCAGCTGCTGAAAATTTTATTGAAAAATTTAAAACTGCATCAGAATCCTATGATCCGGAGTTTGTTTATAATGCCGATGAAACTGGCCTTGTTTGGAAAGCATTACCAAAACCCACTTTGGCTTCTAAAAGGGAATCTAGTGCCCCTGGACATAAGATCAGTAAAGAACATGTTACAGTGCTTAACTGTGCCAACTCCACTGGAAATCATAAACTGCCACTTCCTTTGATAGGAAAATCAAGAAATCCAAGAGCATTTAAAAACGTAAAAAAACTTCCACTCTTCCACAAAAGTCAACCCAAGGCCTGGATGACTGCAGCTTTGTTTACCGAATGGTATGATGAAGTGTTTATTCCTGAAGTGAAAAAGCACCAAAAATCGGTGGGAAAAGAAGGCAGTAAGGTGCTTTTAATTGTTGATAATGCACCCATTCATCCTACAGCAGAACTGTTGGAAAGAGAGAATGGGTAGTTCAAAACGACGTTTTTGCCTCCCAATGTTACAAGTTTGCTGCAACCCATGGACCAGTCTGTTATTGAAACAATGAAAACTGCTGAACGAAGGTGCTGAAGATGAAGAATTGGTTTTGGCAAATCATAGCAAAATAAATTTAAAGGACTGCTGTTACATGATAGCGGAAGCTTGGAGTTTGGTTACGGCAGTGACGCTAAGACGTGCGTGGAATAAACTGAAAGGCCTACCGTCTGAGAAGAACAAAAAAAAAAGAATCTGAAGAAAATGAGTAACAAGAATATGGAGAGGATGATGATGATAAAGATGCGTTGTCACTAGAGGAAATAAGAAAAATGATTGTAAAAATTCCTGGTTGTACAGAAGTGCTGAAGATGTAGGAGAGTGGATGGCTTGTGACACGTCTGACCCTGGTTTTTAAATTCTCAATGACGATGAAATTGTTGTAAGTGTGAGAGAAGATGTTGAAGTGGAAGTGGAAGAAGAACTTTCTGCTGATGTTGAAGTAGACGCTGGACCATCAGCTAGTGAAGCATTTGCCGGCCTTGAGACTGCTTTGAAGTGGATGGAGCGTCAGCCCGAGTGTGACCATTTGCAACTGCTCACCGTCAAGCGAATGCGTGACCTGGCTGCCCGAAAACGGTTGAAGACCGCAAAACAGCTTACATTAACGGAGATGTTTAAAAAACAATGATTTTTATTTCTAAACTTGTACATAAGTACATTTTATTTATATTTAAAACATGTGAAAATTTCATGTTTCTTTCATTTAATTTAATAAAAAAATAGTGCAATATCAAAACGTAGCTTTTATTCTCTCCAATGGCAATTTAAAAAAAAAAAATCCGATTATCCGAATATTTGATTATCCGAATGGGTCCCGGTCCCCATTAATCCGGATAATTGGAGTTCTACTGTATTCTATTTGTACTTTTTCGTATTTGCATTGATATCTAAGTTTCGAACTTTGTAAATTTCAGTTTTTAACATGTTAGTTAAAAGGAATGGAAATAATTGTCTTTGGTCCATTTGTTTGTTGCAAAAATCAACTTTTGCTAGAGTCGCCATCTAGTGGAGGTGCTTTTTTAGTGCTTTCTTTTTTTTTAAATACTTCCTCATTATGAAGTGAAATATCTAAGCGGCATAAAAATATTTTGTTATTTTAAAGTTGATAATATGAAGTCACGATATTACATATATCTATGAATGTATGACGTAGATATCAAATATATATATTTTTACTTATTGTATCTAGTTTTTCGATGTCTAAAGAATTCATGTGAAATAAAAAACTTTTTTTTTATCTCTATTCATCAATATTTAATACTTACTACCAGACTTTCAATTGATTCAACATTGTCTTTGTTGAAAACTAGATAGTCTTCATCAACTCCTTCTGGATTCTTTAATTTCGTTTCTGTGAATCCAGCTGCTATCAAAAGGTCCATTGCACCTTCTATTGGTTGAACACGTTCACAGAATGCCCTAAAAGTTGCAGTTCAAATAAAAATACATAATGAAATAAGTGTAATGTATAAAATTAATAATTCTCTAAGTCACATTTTACAGTAAATTGAATACTTGACTGTTCCGGGCAAAGTATTTTAAAACTTCATATGGTTATATTTCTAGTGCAAAAGATTTTTATACATTAATTTAAATAGTCCTGCGTAAAAAATCAGTTACGGTGCATTTTGAGCCATGACGTCACGTTTCATTCATTAAACATGAGTTCTGGTGGCACTCGCAAAAAAGAAGTCGACGTTTAGTTTATTGAAATGTGACGTCACACGATGCTCGGTCATGGCCGCTCGCGTTTCGGTTTTTGTTGTCCATAGTTTATAGATCAAAAATAAAATATACTTACAATTTATTAAAAAACAAAAACTTTTTGCGCTTGATACGTTTACATACAACAAAATAAAACCAACTACCTGTTACTCATTCTTATTTTCTGATATTTTTCATCGTCTGGGTGATTAATGATGTTTTCTAGATATTTGCAAAGTGTTTCTACGCAAGTATCAACCTACAAGAGAAAAATAAATAATCCTATTAATATTATAAAGGCGAAAGTTTGTAAGTATGGATGTATGGATGTTTGTTACTCTTTCACGAAAAAACTACTGGACGGATTTGGATAAAACTTTACAGCAATATAGGTTATACATCAGAATAACACATAGGGTACTTTTTACTGGGAAAACTTCTCACTCCCACGGGATACCGACTTCCACGCGGACGAAGTCGCGGGCGTCCACTAGTAAAGTTTATATGTTAATAATCACAAAATTAATTACTGGTCTAGTTCTTATTGTTCTGTCTAGTTAAATATTCTTAGTTATTTTCCTGGATCAGTCGGGGATTTACCCTAAAGTTACAATAGGACCGGACCAAGGACCGCGCGGTGCATGGCCTCTGGGCCGATCCCGCGCATCGCCTACCATGAGAGGGACATCGCTGAGTTTTAGTGGGTAACTTCTGTTTCTTGTCTAGCCCCTTCGGGGGTGGGACCACAGGAGGAGTCCCACATCACCCGTGGAGCCCGCGCAGGGTGAAGCGGTGTATGCGTAACGCATTTCATAGCGTCAAAAAAAAAAAAGGACCGGACCTAGGACGGTTAATAATCGCATAAAATACTGTGTCAAAAGATGGGTGATGAAATACCGAAATCCACTTACTAATACAATAGTAATAGATATGAATGTTTTACATAAATGAGAAATTTTGAGGCAGAAATCCCGGAATTAATGGAATAGAAATAATAATAACAGTGATCTCTGCGTACCCCTACGGGAGGAAGACGTGATCAATATGTATGTAGGTTTAACACTTTAAAGATATTTTTCCATATTTCTATTAAATGAATTAAATAGAAATATGTAATTGATACAAATGGTTGTAAGAATATTTCATTAAAAATACCTTCTCTCTGTTATTGTTACATGACTGTATCAAGAGACAAGCAGTTAGTCCCCTTTCTTCCACTAGTTGCTCATAAAGGAACTTCTTTATGTTCAATTTCCATTCATCACGAGGTAGAATGTCATTACTTATTAGAGGACACCTGAAAGTAAAATAATTTATAATAGATGACAAAATACATAAATTGCTCAAATCCCAAGTAGATACAGACTTTGGACAGAGTGGAATTAGTAGAAAACTATGGAATGGAAAATCTGATTTGTAATTGTTATGATAACATCTAGTCAATTACATATAGTGGTCAACCAGTTAAAGTACTTTAATACAAATAGTGTCAAAATTAATGTTACAAAGAAAATGAACAAGAATTTGGCCATAAAAAATCATCTGCCATTTCAACTTTACTGCAATTAACTAAGTGTCAATGTAATTTTCAAAAACAGCAATTTACCTAGTTATAAGGTGTCACTAATGTCAGCTGTCAGTTTTGCTAATAGTGTTGATAGCAGGCAGGACATGAGTAGCTCAGAAACATGAAGTTAGCTGGATGGGCATTTTTCCTTAAAATACTGTAAGGTTTTAATTAGCTAAACAAACATACTTGAAGAATACTCCACTTGCAGCATAGTTCTTCGGCAAATCCAACTGAGTCTCGGATTTTTCTTGTTCAGTATTAGCTGATGAAGAAGCTGCAGTGGAAGTTGTAGCTACCCTTTCATTCTCCATTTCTTTCTTTACTTGTGCCTATTAATAATTATATTTATGTATTTAGCAAAAAAAATATTATCCATTATCAAATATTACATGCTGAATCCAAATATGTATATTAATTAAAATCTAAAGGGTTCCTTATATGAATTACCCCTTAAACATGCATATTATGCAATTACAATGAAGTAATATTTAATTTGTTATTTATAAATAATATAATAAGTTTGCAGAGGAACATTCTTTAATCAATGAAAATGAAATTATTCTAAAACATATTGCATTACTGACAGGTTTAGATACTTCAAAAACCAATAATAATATGCATAAGAGATGGACCCCTAAAAATCTTCCTCTGCATGAAAAACAACAAGCATACAAAAAGGCAAATCCACAGAAACTGGCTGTTTTGAACTAACAGATAGAATCAAAGGATTATTGAAGACAAACAGCCCTCTGTGCCTGCCTAGACATTGAAGGAGCATTCGATAATGTCACCATTGAAACTGTATCCAAAGGAATCGGCGACACGATAACCAAATGGATCGAAGCAATACTCCTAAACAGAACAATTAACCTGCTAGGAACAGCAAAAGATTTCAAAACCACAATTGGTTGTCCTCAAGGTGGCGTCCTATCGCAACTGGTATAGTTCTTAGTGGTTGATCAATTGTTAGTACAAGCCTCTGAGAAAGGCCTAGATATACAAGGCTACACGGACGATGTGGTAGTTCGCATCATTGGTCCATGTCAAAGCACTGTATCACCTTCGACCAAAAACTCATGTGGGCGTGCCATATAAACAACATAACGGAAAATAGTAAAACACCCTAGGTATATGCTGTCGAGTAACTGAGGCAAAATGGGGACTAAATGTGAAACACCAAAACATCTTCTGTGTGAATGTTAACCACTGATTCACAAACAAATCATACATCTGGAACAACATAAAATCTCTAAAAGCCACAAATATTATAGACTTTGAAGACTAAAGGGGGAAGTTACTATAGGTCTGGCGGCAAGTCACAATAGATCTTCAAGGTCACAGTGACTATAGTTACTCAGGGAATTGCATAGCCCCTTGTAATAATAATACTTTAAAAACTATATTAAGTAGATAAAACATGTGTGATTTATGGCTTTTGGAAGATGCAGTTATCAATTTATTATTTAAATAATACTATTGAAAATAATGTTAAATTATAATCTCTGATTTACCAATATACACCACAAATGTTAATAAAGTAATTGTGAAATAATCTACCTGGATAGCAGCTAAAGAAGTATTAAATGCTGGATTCTCTCTCTTCTTTTGTAATCTAGCTAAAGCAGCTTCTGCTGCAATCTTACTCTCTTCTGACAAACCAGCTCTGGGCACCACAGGAACATCTTTCTTTGAACTATTAGAACTCTGACTACTTATATTTGATTCACTTAGCTTGTACCCAGGGCCTGCAAGTTTGAACTTCGCATCTGCCTTCTTTTTTTGAAAGAATTTCTTGAACTTCTCTGCCATACTGGTTTATATTCGTGGAGTGTGTTCTTTAGGTAACTTCAATTTAGAAACACTTTCTTTTAATTGTTCAATTGTAGCTGAGGTTGCTGAAAAAACAAATAAATATATATTAAAATAAATAAAGCATGATAAAATAAACTGAAGTATAGAGTTATTTTCAAGTAGTTTTTATAAAACTTATCAACATAATCCCTTGATCATTAGTTAATCCAATCTTGTTTTTGGTTGTTTATTATATAAAGCATGACCAGCAAATGAAACATATTGTTGAGGTTAATTTCAATGTCAAGGTCTTAAAAACAAATAGCTTACTCACCCGGTTTCATAAACCGTTCTGATATTCGTTTTCCGTAAACTCGCCACGAAATAAAAATCAATAGAAGAGTGAAAAGAAGTATTAAGAAAAAAGTTTTTAACAGTAAGAACTGAAACTCATTAAAATATAAAACACTAGCTATTTCCTCGTAAAAAGATAATTCTGATAGGTTTACAACAGTATTAGGAAGATTTTCAATGGGCAAAGCAGTAACACAAGATTCTATAAATTCTAGAGCTAATGTTAATGTATCACTTATTTGAAGGTACAATGCCTCGTAAAGGGTGGAATTAAACACTGCAGTGTCGAATAAAGACATCAGGTAAAGGAATTTTACAGTCCCAAATATTTGCAACTTAGAAAAATAAATCAATCATGCTGGACTGGGAATGAAGGATTTTTATCTGTCAACGTCAATGCTTTTTTTTTCTTTCAGATAGGTCAATGGGTTCTGTCCATACAACCAGTTCGTGTATATCAACGTTACAATAGGTAGCTACAATTGGATAATTATAAAAAGCATTAAGAAAATCAAAGATAATAAATGAATAACTGTTATAATAACTCTTTTGTATTGACATCTTATTTATTTTCCTTTTATGTGAGTGTGACATCTGACATCTTTCAGTTTATGAAAAGTCTTATATTGTGAATATGATATTTTATTTCCATAAAATAATATTAATACTTTATTGGCGACGAGGATTGACGCCGAACAGTTTACACAATTTTTACAAGCCCAACAGGCGCAACAGGAACAGATAACTCAATTACTTTTACTTTTAGCATCTCAAACACAGAGCGTACAGGTACGTACAACAGCATCAAATGGTGAACACACCATACCAACATCGAACTCGGATAACAACAATTTGAGTATATTCAAACATTTTAACATCGACAAGTTAAACCCGGATTGTACTAGAGTGGAAGATTACCTCGACTTAAAAAGTTAAATTACAGTACACATTCTACAACGAATTCCAAACGCTTTACGAACAACCGAAAGCCTCGATTTATTTATCAAGACCAGTGCTACCGCTGTGGTAGAAGTAACAAACATAGTTTTACAAACTGCCCTGCTAAAGAACACACATGCCAGGAATGCAAAACTAATGGACATTTTGAAAACTGTTGTATCAAAAGTGGCCGAGCACAGATTACAAGAAACAGTAATTTGAAATCAAAGTATGGTAATAAATTACAAAAAGTTACAGAAAACCGTACAACAAACGAAGATTCATCAGGAAGCAGTGATGATAGTGACGACTACATATGTAACGTTACACGGAACCAACAAAAAAAGAGAGACTGCAAAAGAATTGATGTTATTATCAACGGACAACCCTGCACAATGGATTGGGATCCTGGTTCAACATATACAATTATTAACACACAGTTTTGGAGGACAATAGGATCTCCAATTCTAACCAAAGCACCTAAATTAAAAGCTTATGGAGATTATAGACTTAAATCAAAAGGCCTTGCTGAAGTGACTGTTGAAATTCAAGGTAAACAAAAAATCCTACCAGCTGTAGTTATGACGAATGCTAACCCTATGCTTTTTGGTTTACAATGGAGCGAAATGTTTGATATGGAATTTCCAAAACCTGTTTATTCCATCAAAAGTAGTAAAACACAGGCATCACTTCAACAAGTCTTAAACCAATATACTCAACTTTTTGACGGAAAATTAGGGAAAGTTGAAGGTTATCAAGTGAACATTTATGTTAAACAAGGCGCAGAACCTGTACATTTACCAGCACGTCCAATCAAATTTGGAATAAAAAGAAACATCGAGTTAGAGTTGGATCGTCTTGTATCTGAAGGCATCATAGAAAAAATTGATCCGAATATAACACCAGTTGAGTGGGCGACACCAACTGTAAACGTTGTAAAACCAAACTGAACTATACGTATCTGTGGGGACTACAGAAGCACTCTAAACCCCGTGTTAGTCAAACACTTACACCCCGTACCACTATTCGACCAACTACGACAAAAACTGACTCATGGCGAATGTTTTTCTAAAATAGACCTGAAAGATGCCTATCTTCAATTCGAAATAGCTCCAGATTCTAAGAAATATCTAACACTTTCGACACACAAAGGTTATTTCCAATATAAGAGAATGCCTTTTGGAATATCGACAGCACCATCAATCTTCCAACATTATCTTGATACATTGCTTGGTGATCTTCCTAACGTGGCTGTATATTTTGATGATATTGCGGTGACCGGAAAAACAAATTACCAGCACTTACAGACTTTATCAACGGTGTTCGAACGTTTAAACAGAGCAGGTCTCAAAATAAATTTAAAGAAGTGTTCATTTCTACAAGATCAAATAGAGTACCTGGGTCATACAATAGACAAAAATGGAATACACCCCACAAAGAAAAAACTTGATGCTATAACGAACGCCTCAGAACCATCAAATTCAAAAGAACTGAGATCTTTTCTGGGCCTGGTAAATTTTTACGAACGATTTATTCCACATCTACATGGAATCTGTGCAGATTTACATGAATTAACAAGTGGTAGACAACGATGGCGTTGGACAAGTCATGAAAGGAACATTTTTGAGAAAACTAAATCTTGCATAGCTGCATCGCAACCCTTAATAGCATTTGATGATAATAGACCACTATTTCTAGCATGCGACGCATCGGAAAAAGGTGTAGGAGCCGTTTTATTTCACAAACAAAAAGATCGCGAAGAACCTATAGCTTTTGCATCAAGGAAATTGCGCACTGCTGAAGCTAAATATTCTGTAATTGACAGAGAAGCTCTTGCTATATTTTTTGGAATAAAAAAATTCGATCAATATCTACGCGGAACAAAATTTACACTATTATCTTCCTAAAATAACTAACAACAGACTTGTGAGGTGGGCTTTAATCATTGGTAGTTACAATTACGACATTTTCTACCAAAAGGGTGAACAGAATATACTGGCAGATTGTTTTTCAAGATTACCTGATAATCATACCGAACTATCAAATACAGAACGCATAATACGCAAGATCGATTCACGCCTTATATCAAACAGAATTTCAGACGTACACTTAACGGAAAAGAGTATAAGAGAACATTCCATGATCGATTCCATTTTATCAAAAGTTGTACAATACTTAAAAACTGGTTGGCGCGACTTTGAATATAATAATGAACTAAAACATTATTTCAGAAAACGGAACGAAATTTCAGTTGAAAATAAGATTTTATTATGGCAGGGAAGAATGATCATACCAAACTCCTTGCGATTAAAGGTAATATCATACCTTCACCAGGGTCACCCTGGAATAAGTGCGATGAAGGCACTCGCACGTTTTTATGTCTGGTGGCCGACTTTAGACGAAGACATAGAGAATTTTGTCAAGCAGTGTAACGGGTGCCAAGCTAATCGTCCTCACAATCCAGAGCTTCTAATCTTTTCCTGGTCCATTCCTGAACAAGTATGGGAAAGAATACACATCGATTTTGCTGGACCATATGACGATACATATTGGCTAATTGTTTGTGATGCATTATCTAAATGGGTGGAAGTTAAACCAATGAAACGCATAACTACTAGAGATTTATGCTTGGTTCTAGATGACATATTTGTCACATTTGGGCTACCACAAATTATTGTTTCAGACAATGGCCCACAATTTGTCTCGCACGATTTTAAGAATTACTGTGAAAAGTTAGGTATAGTACACGTGACTTCTTCACCATATCACCCGCGCAGTAACGGACTGGCTGAAAGATTTGTTAGAACTTTTAAGACAAGAATAGGAGCGAACGAAGGGACTAAAGCTAAACATCTCATTGAATTTCTTTTTACCTATCGAAATACTCCTCATAATACTACAGGAAAATCACCTGCACAAATGATGTTTGGGCGACAGCTCAACTGCGTTTTATCTAATATCAGGCCATCTAAACGAAGAAATTTACAGTTACGTCAAATTCAAAACAACGTCACCACTGCATCATCTGAAGCTGGAAATTTTGTACCTGGTGAACCAATTTATACGAGAACTAAATTAGAAAAGTTTTGGGAAAAGGGAACAATAGCCGCACGGAGGGGCAAATACTCATATCTGATCACGACTCCAAGAGGAAGATCGATACGAAGACATGCTGACCACATACGCTCAAGAGTGCCATCACCGCAGCAACATTCACCCCCTGTGGACATTGTACCGTCACCATCTCCATCTGTACACCTTTCATCAACCATGCCTACATCAACTATTCCTCTCCAGTCATCACCATTACCACAGTTTTCATTAATCACTCCTATTCAATCATCGCTATCATCATCTCTCGATTGGGCAACACCCACCACAGCATCACCGTCACCAACTCTACGCCCGCGCAGAGGCTGTTGTCAAAGACGACCTGCGGCTGCATCTACCATAGAACCTGCACCAACTGTACCAGCCCTACAATCTACATCAGCTGAACCAGTGCTACCTCTGCGCCGCAGCCAACGTACTGTGCGACCTCCTCGAAGACTAATTACCGAGATGTGAGGGAGGACGAATGTTATAATAACTCTTTTGTATTGACATCTTATTTATTTTCCTTTTATGAGTGTGACATCTGACATCTTTCAGTTTATGAAAAGTCTTATATTGTGAATATGATATTTTATTTCCATAAAATAATATAAATACTTTAATAACGCATAAATTATTTATAACTAACAGATGGTGTCGAGTTGCGCGTCAAAAACTGATGAATTACTCGCAAACTTTGTATTACGATTATTGTTAACTGCTGCATTATCAAATAATCGGTTACAAAGTTGTTTACATGTTTATCGATTTCCTTTATAAAAAATATATCAATAAGAAATGAATTAAATTGAGTATTTTAGAGGAAACTTTGTTTATTGGTTCTATAGAGAAAATCGTATAAATTCAAGTTTTGGATGTGACAGAATCCTTACAAATATGATGTTTTTTTATAATTTTCAATGTAACAAAACCAATCGGAAGTTAGTGGCCTTTGGTCTATGCACCCTCTTAAATATAACCAGGTACTTGAACACCATTACGAAGCCAATTGTATACGAGTTTATTATAGAATTTTATGGTGTAAGTGGTTAGAAATACAACCCTGTTGCATTTCTTTATTTGTCAATATTTTCGTATTATAAGATTTTGCAAAACATTTTGTAGGATTAAATTGTTTATAGTTAAAAGGTTCCCTATTTAAACATTGAATTTACCTATGAAAACAATCTTTCCTTTTTTTTTAGATACGTCCCTACTATTTACAAAAGCAACTGGTCTACAGATATAACATTGTAGCGGCGTTTAGTTTGTTCAGAATGAAATAGATTTATTACACTTAAAAAGGTTTATTGGTTAAAATATTACGTAAAATATATTTTATTAACAAAGA